CATCTCTATGTGCAAGACAGGGTTGCATGTGAGGAAAGCCATTGGATGGCTTGATATGCATTGTTGGACACATTTCCAAACAGTTTAAGCTTTTGAGACAATTGGTGTACTAACAGTTTGTCATTGCGTATATCCTCAAGAACATAGTCTTTGATCTGCTTTTCTCTTTCTGAACTCATTCATAAAGGGAAAAAAAACTTTAGTCAAACAAAAGTAAGGAAACAAATCTGTACATAACATTTCAGAAACAGTTCCTAGATTACCATATCAAACACAAAAGCAAAGTTATTCTTATATAATGATGAGAGGATCTAAAATTCAGTAAATATGTCTGAAGAGAGATATACAGCAAACAAAAGGCAATAAAAGTCAAGAAAGGTTTATCGAAATTACCACAGCCTGCGAAGTTCAGCAACTGGCCATTGTTATTTAGATCCACCATGTAATAAACCTGGAGACGGGGTTTAGTGGCATTATAATTTGAAAAAATGAAAAAAGGAGTAACAGAAACATTACTAGTTGAAAGAATAAAACTAGGATGTATATACATCTTATTGAACTCCCTATGACTGCAATAGATATAACTTGCAAATGAAATACACCGGAATGTTAGGGTCATCACTAACTCATGATGGGATGTAAGACTCCAGGATTATTAACGATCAGTTCAGGATTTTCATTTTCTGAGCGTAAACTTTTTCTGCATTTAGTACCAGTTGATAACTAGTACTATACAATTTGTAAGAAAGGAGAGGGGTCCAAACTGAGATATGAATTGAAAACTTATTTTGAATTCCCAATACCATAAGAAAAAATAAAAAGGTATATTATTTTTTAAATTACTGCAAATACTTGGTGGAGTAGAATGTCTTTTTCACTATGCACATATTGGAAATTTTATTCACAATCAAATAATTCATAGTATATCCCTGAAAGCCAATCCAAAAGAGTACTTCTCCAGAGGAAAAATTTAGGATCCTGACATTTCTGCCTGAAGGTATCTTGGTAAACGGTAATTGTATAAATTTATGTCCACAAAGACCTAAGAAAACAATGTAAGAAGAAGTTCCCAATTCATCCTAAAATACAGGCCTTCAACCATCAAGAACTCCACTATGGAAACAAACTTTTAGTGATAGATTTAATGTAGAACCCAGCAGATGATATGATTTCAGCGGTTTAAGCAACATCAGGAATTTTAATAAAATAGATGAATTGTTCCACTTCTGCATGTTTTGGGGGCCCTACAAGGCCCAATCAAGTTCTAATACATCAGGCCTAGAAATAGACTTTACCTATTATCGAACCTTTTAGATGAATAAATAGAAGTTTCTCGGAAATACTTGGTATTAAATCTCATAGATAAATGGTATTAAATCATAGAGATAAATAAAAGTTTCACAAAGAAAATATTTTGATGGGTTTGAGCGCACACACTCTCTCTCTCTCTCTCTCTCTCTCCATTTTCCATCTTCTAGTCTCTTATCTATCTTTGTCTCTCTCTCTCTCTCTCTCTCTCCATTTTCCATCTTCTAGTCTCTTATCTATCTTTGTCGAATCTCTACTTATAAATTTGGGAGGCATGGCAGTCGATGTTGTGATATACCTCTCCAATTTATTTCCTCTTTCTCTTTTCTCCTCTCTTCCTTTCTCTATAAAGAAAATCGTCACAGCTTATCAGTCTACTACATGTTTGGCGAAACTTGTGTTAGAGCCAAGTTGCATGAGTCCCAATATCCATCTGACCTATAAAATGAAGCTCAAATATGGTTCTGTTTTTCAAGAAATGTCACGAACAAAAACCAAAAGAGAACAAGCTGCATTTCTTTTGGGTGGTAAATGAGAACAAGCTGCCTTTAAGTAATACAAATCCTTGTTTGATAATCTTCAAGATACTTGTTAGAATTTCCCATCTTTACCTTCACCTACTCCACTACACACTCCACTTCACCTACCTCCACTTCACCACACACTCCACTTCACCTAACCCACTATCACCTCCACTACACCTACTACCACATTTTCTTCTATATATAGATTGTATAGGAATTGTAATTAATCAATCTTGTAATACATCAATCAATAATATACTTCAATATTTTTTACAATACTTGTTTACTGTGCCAGGTAAATTAGTTAAAACCATGCAGATAGCATTGTTCCAGCCCAAGCCCAGGAGTTCTGAATGCATTACATGGCCAATAAGACAAATACCAATATCAAAGAAGCTCCCGTAATCATTTCTTCCGCAAAGAATTTACTGCTTTAGAAGTCACCTATCTAGCTTACAAACTTGGGGCAAATATAAGGCAGCAAGCAAATCATCATTGATTAGCTCACTACAATCATATCCTCCATAACATATTTTACCCAAAAGCTTTCTATCAATGCCAAACAAAAAGAGAACAAGTGTTCTAATTGCATGCAACCCTAAAATTGATGACCTTTGCAGCTTCATAGATATTCTATCTTCAGGCAATTCCAGAATGTTACAAAATGACAGCTCTGATTATGCAGTTATTCAATTTTAGCAATTTCTAACTGTTCCAAAAGGGCAGTGCTCATTAACTAGTTATTAATTTGAGGTGACAGCAATCTATATCCAGAAAAGATAATTTTATATACTTCAATTAATCCGCCCCAATCTCATCTAACTAAAAGATAAAGATAACAATCCCCAAGTAGTGTCACCAAATACTTTGAAGAGAGAGAGAGAGAGAGCATTGCATTTAACTTGAAAAAATTTATTGCAAATCACCTTGTTATCTATGCCACGAAAGGAAGTCGTATAAGGGTTGTCATCATCAGCCTCATTAGTATGGTTATAGACAACATCCAAAATGACCTGTTAAAAAGAGTAGCATCGCCATATTGAAACAACAAAAGCTTCAACCTTTTGGTAGAGAAACAAGAAAAAGAAAATCATTGGAAGTGCAAAAAATGCATTTAATACCTCTATTTCAGCACCGTGCAAGGCTTTAACCATTTCTTTAAACTCCCTGGAAGCATTAGCAGGACCTCCACCAGCACTTGCATAGCGACTCATAGGAGCAAAGAAATTAATTGTTGAATAGCCCCAGGTGTTGATCTTGGTGGTTAGATGTCCCCAAGCATAATACATATTTGGATTTTCCAAATAAGGCCATGTCAATAATTAAGGCATGAAATAATGCTAAACTGCTAGCGCATATGAAAAGTAAAATTCAAAATATTTCTATTCCAACCTATAAAGTAGATTGCAAAGAGCAGATGAAAAAGATTTTTGTCAAGAAACTTATGTAGTGAAAGCACATGATCATATCTCCTTTATTCATGCGAGCATCAAACTCTCAGATTGTCGTAAAAGTGCTTTCCTCACAGTTTGCATGCAGACATTTCTTAGTTGGATTCTTCATGCATCATCTTTGGTGCAGGAAAGGTTGCTTTAGTAATAATATAAGACAAGACACATTACAGACTTAGAGATTGCTCACAAACACTTTTTTCCTTAAGGGTAAAGCCTGAACAAGTGAAGTTTACCAGGATTATCAATTTTTTTTACAAGTTGTAACCACCACTAAGGCAACCATTAGTACATTAGTTTCAATAACGCAACCAAACATAAAAAAACATTTTCTATGGAAAATATTTTTCTAAAAAAATGTTTTCCGCTGAAAAAAACGGAACGTAAAGGGAAAATATCCCCAAAGTTACAAGGCTTCTGTTAAAATATACCAAAACCTACCACTACACCTACTCCACCCACTTCACCTACTCTCCACCTACTCCTCACCTACTCCTCACCTACTACACACTCACCATCTCCTATATATAGGAATCAATGTAAACACAACAATATCAATCAATAATACAATCATTTCTCTTTATATATTAAATTTCTACATGGTATCAGAGCTGGTTTAGAACCTAGTATTTTCGCTTCACCGGCGGGCGGCAACCTCACCTTGGCCGCCTGCCGGACCTCAACCTAATCCGCTAGAATTTTCTACACATACCTTGACATTTATTCAAGTCCACCACCACTGCCCCTCCTCTCACTATTGTCCTCCCCTACACCACCGTCTCGGTCGTCTTCATCTACCACCACTGTTGACCTTAACCCGTCGCTGCAGTCCCTTCACTCTGATCACCGGCCGTCACACCGACCTCACCCATCGCCTTCACCGCCTTCCGCGCCCTTTAATCCCAATCCATGAGCCGCTACGACAGCCGCTCCGCCGACCCCGGCTCCTACCGCGACCGCCGAACTGATTCAGGGTTTGGTGGTGTTTCGAGTTACGGTGGAGCTCGTTCATCGTCGAGCAAGAAGGACTACGATGGTTCAGAGTCACCGCGCAAGTTGGATTTGGATGGGTTGACTCCGTTCGAGAAGAATTTCTACACAGAGTCGCCTGCTGTGGCAGCAATGTCGGAGAGTGAAGCTGAGGAGTATCGGCATCGAAGGGAAATCACCGTTGAAGGCCGGGATGTGCCCAAGCCTGTCAAGGCTTTCAGGGACGTTGGGTTTCCAGAATACATCATTCAAGAAATTGTAAAAGCTGGCTTTACTGAACCCACACCTATTCAAGCTCAAGGATGGCCAATGGCTTTAAAGGGCCGTGATCTAGTTGGACTTGCTGACACAGGTTCAGGAAAGACACTTGCCTACCTATTGCCTGCAATTGTCCATGTCAATGCTCAGCTAATAGAGAGAATCTGGTTCCGTGAAGAGAGAGGCAGCCCATGTGAAGAGAGAGAAAGACCATTCATTAGGCAGGTCACTTTTCACAAATCCACCACTAGCACTCTTTCACACCATTAGCACACTTTTTCTTTTATTTATTTATTTTACTTTTTTATTCTCTTTATCCCATACCCTCCCGTCCATGTTCCCCACTCCCACTCTCTCTTTTCAAAATCATTGTCTTTTCCTTCCCATCAACTCTCTTTTTAAAATAAATGATTCATCCTCCACCCACCACACCACATTATCCTCATCATTCCCTCACTACTAATATATATATATATAATCTTTTGCATGTTCTGATGCCATATTATTAACATAACAACCGCTGCCTTTATAAGCCATAGCTACAAGAAACAAAGGCGCAACATAATTATTCATATTCTCAACATAAAATAGATAATGGCCTATGATTAAGTCATAAGCATAACACAATTCTCTCATGACATGACCACGGGACGAGGAGGCCATGTTCTGGGTAGCTGGACGGGAAGAAGAGGCCATGTTGCTGAGTGTTTCAGAGACGGGTTGGTTACAGAGAATTACAGAGTTTCTCTCTCAGCAAAGGAAGAGTTTTTTCAGAGGATTTTCAGAAGTTTTTTGTCTGCCTCAGCCTCAGCATCAACCTTGGTTAAATAGCCAAGGCAGCCACGCGCATCATGCGCCGCTCGGCGCTCAACGCCAACCTGGACACACCTTTTTGATGGCACGCCTTTTTATGGATTGGGCACGCCTTTTGATGGCACGCCTTTTGAAAGATTGGGCACACCTTTTGAGGGTGCGACTTTTTAGGGGTCCGACAAGACTCTGTAAACTGTCCCGACATTGATTCCGGTTAGCTCCTTCAACGGTCCGACATGACCCCATAAACTGTCTTCTACAACGGTCCGACACCACCATCCAGTGTCCTCTACACCGTTATGACACCACCATACAATGTCCTCTACATGTTTGGCCCGAGGACAACATTGTCTTCTACAACGGTCCGACATGACCCCTTAAACTGTCTTCTACAAACGGTCCGACATGACCCAATACATTGTCTGCTACAACGGTCCGACATGACCCAATAAACTGTCTTCTACATCGGTCCGACACGAGCCAGTGTCTTCTACATCGGTCTGCCATAACCATACAGTCTTCTACAACGGTCTGACACGACCATACAGTGTCTCCTATCCATTTTTTATTTTTCAGATTATTTTCTTGGTTTGTTAGTCTCTCCAAACTCAAGTTGGTTAGTTCCTATCCCCCTTGAGTTTGCGGGGGGATGTTAAAATGTACCAAAACCTACCACTACACCTACTCCACACACTTCACCTACTCTCCACCTACTCCTCACCTACTCCTCACCTACTACACACTCACCATCTCCTATATATAGAAATCAATGTAAACACAACAATATCAATCAATAATACAATCATTTCTCTTTATATATTAAATTTCTACAGCTTCATTCCAAGTCAATAAACCAAACTCCTTCTAAGAGAGATCAAAAAAGAGGGAAGATATATTTAAATAGGATGAGATGATAAAAAATGTTTCAAGAAGGCAAACTGACGGAAAGAAAAATATTGTAATCTTCATAAAGAAAATATCATAACATTTCCGCTGAAAAAAACGGAACGTAACGGGAAAATATCCCCAAAGTTACAAGGCTTCATTCCAAGTCAATAAACCAAACTCCTTCTAAGAGAGATCAAAAAAGAGGGAAGATATATTTAAATAGGATGAGATGATAAAAAATGTTTCAAGAAGGCAAACTGACGGTAAGAAAAATATTGTAATCTTCATAAAGAAAATATCATAACATAAATCCAACTAACACTATACAAGACGACAAAACAAAAAAACAAAAAAGGTAAAGAATTACCATGTGATCTCTAGGGTTTGGACGCCTCTGGAACTCAAACTCATCAAACTCAAAGACAGGCAGCAACTCCACAGCATTGATACCAAGCTCAAGAAGATGTGGTATCTTAAAATGGAAATAAATGTTATAAAAACCATGATATATAAAAACGATTACATCCATGGTCAATTCTGACTTAAAATTATATAACATACATAAATCTCATCACAAGTGCATAATAGAAAACCTGAGCAAAAAATTTTTCAAGTGAAATTAGTTCAAACAACTAAGCAATTTGCAAATTTATTATTAAAAAAATTATGATTCCAGTAGTACAATCATTCTTTGTTTCCTCACCACAACCACACATTAAAGGGAAAAACTTAAGTATTCAAAAACTTGATAAAACATAGCCAATGTTGGACAAACAAATATATATACATATATAAACAGAAGTGAATGCAAGATAAAACATAAGGCACCAGAGCAGAATCAGAATCTGAATCTGGTGATTGACCAAAAAAAGAACAAAGCAGTTCTTTGATAACATTGGAATATCCAGAAAGGCATATTGGGAATCGGTCAATTTCTAATTAAAGGCATATCGGGAATCGGTCAGTTTCTATCTCTGTTCATTCTGTTTGAAGAAAGGAAGGATCCCCAAGAATCTAGAATTTCTATTTGATTGATCAATGTGTGGTATTCCAAATCCTCAAAAAAATCAGGTTTTTAAACCTGCTCTGATACCATGTAAAAATATATGTATTATTGATTGATGTATGCTTGTTGTATTACAAGATTGATTAATTACAATTCCTATACAATCTATATATAGAAGAAAATGTGGTAGTAGGTGTAGTGGAGGTGATAGTGGGTTAGGTGAAGTGGAGTGTGTGGTGAAGTGGAGGTAGGTGAAGTGGAGTGTGTAGTGGAGTAGGTGAAGGTAAAGATGGGAAATTCTAACACATTGGAATATCCAGAAAGGCATATTGGGAATCGGTCAATTTCTAATTAAAGGCATATCGGGAATCGGTCAGTTTCTATCTCTGTTCATTCTGTTTGAAGAAAGGAAGGATCCCCAAGAATCTAGAATTTCTATTTGATTGATCAATGTGTGGTATTCCAAATCCTCAAAAAAATCAGGTGGTACCACCCTGATAGTTGATATGCACCCATGTTAAATATTACACCACCTTTAAAAAATTTCAGCTGACCCATATTCATGGTACTAAACTTTATTTTGCAGGAAATTTTATTGATCAATGAATGTAGTTTAGTGATTTCATTTGGGTTTATGCCTATAGGAGTTACAAAAATCAAGTCAAAATTCTATAAGTCCAGAATTTGTATATTAACTTACAGCTGTAGGAAATTCAGATCTAGAAAAATTCACCGATCTGGCAAAACAAGTCAATAAAGGCACATTGTATTTGTGATTCAAAGAACAAAAATCAATAAAAAGAATGTGGCAAAGCACATCAGGTATCCAAACCAATGACCCACAGATAGCCTCAGAACTGAAACAAGAAGCTACATGGTTTCCCAATCTTGCATGTGGCTTAAAGTGGTCAATGTTTACTTCAAACCAAGTGTTGTTAACCAAGATTGTAATAAGAAATGTTTCTAGTAGGGATAGCTTAACAAGAAAGGAGAGTTAGAACCAAAAATTTTAAACAGTATATAAAATTAATATGTAACAATTCTATGATCAAAACCTATACAACTTAAGAAACATCCTCAATTCGCTAATATTACCAAAGTGATAGATTAAAACTGTCATTCCAATCATCATAACAACAATTAACCAACTATAATAGAGATTGCTCTCTTCAATTTGGATTTCCTACTACAATTTCCATATTCTTCCCTACCAAATACAATTATTATTAGGATTAATCATGCTAACTATTTTTCTTTTGATCTCCAACCACAAATGTGTATATGCTGATTCTCTATTTTGATCACCAAAATAACAGTGCTCAACTGAAAGTAAGCACAAACATGTCCTAGAAACTCTTACGGTGATCCTATCCTAAAAATGATTTTGGTGCCCATTCAGCCAACCTCTGAAAGAGTAGATCCCTATGGTTTCCCAAGCACTCATCTAGAATTGGACAATGCTGGCCAAACGTGGATTCAGTTTCAGGAACAAGACTACTTGTCTATATAAGCAAATCATCCAAGAAGAGAATTATAGCGATCCCGGGTTTACCCTTGTTGTATAGTGATCCGGACATGTGTCCGTGGATGTTGGTAGTTGTTTATTATCTTGTTTGCATCCTTTCTTACTTTGTATTTGAGTTATAGGATGTGTTGGGCGGGTTGGTTTCAGGTTGGTTGAGTTTAGAAACCAAAACTAGTTGCCCAGATTTTTGGCCTGTACGCTCGAGCGGGAGTTCATCGAGGATTATGATTTTAAGTTGCATTATCATCCAGGAAAGGCCAATGTTGTGGCCGATGCCCTTAGTAGGAAAACCATTAGTGATGTAGCTTGTATAGCCATCCGGGAATGGGAGATGTTGGGAGCACTTGGCGAGTTTGATTTCTTTTCAAATCACTTTTTACTTTCTCTTCTCTCTCTTACTTTTCCAAAATCACCATTGTTGAGCCTCTCACTCTAGACTCTACCTTCTCTCTAGGTTTTGATCTAGTAGGAGTGATTTTACTTCACCCTATAGCTATTAACAAAAAGTTGTTGATCGTTCGAGGCTTCATTTTAATCTGAAAATCTCGGGTTTTGGAGGCACGTTGAGTTTGTCCTTCTTCTCCCTTGGAGCCTCCGAATTTGAGGTAGGGATATCACTAGCTCCTCTCTATGGGTTTGTCTTTAAATTTTGGTATTTTGAGATGTTGGGCTTGGTTGGGGTGATTTGTGTGAATAGTTTTGGGCTTTGTGTTAATTTTAACAAAGGTTTGGGGTTTCATTCATAATACAACCTAGATGCCATGTTTGGCATGAAGAAAATGGAATGATTGTTTGAGGTCATTGATGAAAATGGGACCTTAAGGGTTGAAATGGTAATTATGGGAAAATGGCTAATTAACATTGTTTAATTAATTGGGATAATTGATTGGTGAGTAAATGAGGAGAGATTTTGATTTGATAATATCCATTTGGCGCATGTTAACTTTCTGTTTTAGAAATAACTGCTTGGGCCTATCGTGGAGGATAGTCGTGATTGTTGTAGACAATGTATTGATTTAGGGCAAATCTGAAAACAATCAATGGAATGTGTTATGGAACTGACAGTTGCTAGAATACATTATTGTTTGTGTTGTGTGATTGTATTAGAACCAATGTGTTTATATACGTTATGTGATAGAGGAGGAGATAGGGGATGTAACTCCGCGGTTTAGAGGAAGACTAGGGGATGTACCTCATAAACCGGATAGGTATTTGAGGAGATAGGGGATGTATCCGT